AGTCGCGATCGCCCAGCAGGCCGCGACGCGGGTCCGTGGGTCGGACGGCGGGCATGGCCCCGAAGAGTTCACGCCGGGGCGCCTGCCTCGGGCTGGGACCCCGCCCCCGCGCCGAGCGGCTCCGCGACCCCTCGCGTGAGAGGCTGCCCTGCAGGGGAACCTTGTCGCTGGCCGCGGCACGCCCCCGCGCGCGCGCCCCCGGCTGCGCGCCCTCCAGATCCGCGAGGGCGCGCTCCAGATCGGGCCCCAGGGGGCCCGCCGCCGCCACTTGAGCGACCCTTCTCCGCAGCTGCCGGTTGGCCTGATCAAGTGGAATCCCGAGTAGGTCAGCGGTCATACCCAGCGCGCTGAGGGCCGCTACTTGGCCCCCTCGCCCCTTGAGATCCTCCGCTCGTAGGGTATCCATAAATATCTCGAGGGGATCAGGCTCCTCAGCATCCTCGCCCGCGCTGGCGGCGGCCGCCGCCGGGTGCGGTGGGGCCGCCACTGGGGCCGGGCGGGGCAGGCCCTCCATGCCGGGCGCAGGCTGCGCTCCCTGCGCGCCGCCCCGCCGGTGGCGGCCAAGCGTGCGTACCGGGTCGTGCTGTAGCTGCTGGCGCTCCGCGCTCTTCAGGTCGCGCCGCCTCCAGCCACTCGCGCTTTCCACGTCCACACCGCCCCACTGCTCCTGGCGTAACATCGCCAACAGATCCTGCGGGATGTGGTGGGCGATGACACGCAACCCCACCTCCCGCGCGCCTTGGGGGACCTCGTACAGCAGCCGATTGATCCAATCTATCGGGCACCGTCCGTCCTCCAGCGGGGGCGGATGCCGCACAACCTCGCCGGCTGGGACCTCCACCCTGACACCCTCGAGACTGGCCCCGATGACAAGCCGGGCGCCCCCGCCCGTGCCTCGCGCGTCGAGCCCCTCGCATTCACCCAGTAGAATGTACCAAGGACTCGCCGGGGGCGCGCCATATGCATCCTCGGCCCCTCGGGGGTCGCCTGGGAGTATCGGGCAGACCTTCACGAGGATGGGCTCCAGAAGCCACCCGTGATGGGCGACCCGATCGCCCGGGGCTCCACGGTCGGCGGACCGCGAGCGTTCGCTGGCCCTCGCTTCCGCGGATCGTGATCGACGCGGCTGCGGTCCAGAGGCCAGAGCCTGCACCCTCGTAGGATTAAGATCGACGGACGGGGCCACCGCGGGGGGTGGTGGCGCAGCATGCGGGGGGTAGGCCGCCCCTGGCGCAACGCCTACCCCCTCGGCGGCGCGCGCGGTCCAGTCGCGCGCCTTGGCGGGGCTTGGTACCCGCACTCTCATGCGACGGCGTAGGCCCCCGAGGATCCCCGGCTGGACCGTCGCCTCGACGCGCACGGCGTGGCCCTCGTCCCGTCGAAGGTGCTCCCCGCACATCGGAGCCCCCCCACAGCTACCCTTCGCCATGCGGAGGCACGTGGCAAGGCTGCACTTGCGGCCGATAAGGGTGGATCGATACTTCTGAGCATGGCGGGCACAGAGGTGCACCTGGGCATTGAGGCAATGCCCCGGCCGAGGGACATCCGACACCTCTGCATCTTCCTGAAGCAAGACTGTCGCCTCCTGCATCCCTCGGTCACCGCACCCCTCCGGCTGGAGGGGGCGTGCTCCTCCTGCTAGCTGCACCCCAACTTGTGCGGCTTGGCAGGGGCGCTCCTCGGCCTCCACCTCGCTCTCCGAATCGATATCCAGGCGGCGGTAACCCGCGGCGTCGGTGATGTAGCGGGGCTCCGGCCGAGCCCGGCACAGCCATCCGAACACCGACCAGGGCAGGCAGAGCAGCCATTTGAGGACCCCGAATACCTTCCGGAGTCCCACGCCGACTGCCCGGCAGGCTGTAGCCTTTCCGTGCTCGGCTAAGTCCACGATCTGCGTGTGGTCGATGGCCGCGTACTGGTCGACATGCATGGGATGCGCCACCGGGCATGAGGCGCACTCGACGGCACGGCATAGATGCACGTTGCCGGTCTCCTCGAGGTTCAGCCGCCACTTGCGACTGCTGCACCCCAGGACCTGCCCGATCTGAATGTTGAGTCCGCGGCGGTCCAGCCGATATCGGTCCGCGAAATTGCAGCTGACACGGGCCACCTGCCCGTGCTTACGCAGGAGCACGTGTTTGCATGCCCGATTAGTCCCCCGGCCGCGCACCCCCTTTGTGTGGAACTCCGTTTCCACCACGCCGCCTAACCCCGGCCCGCGCCAACGCACCAGCAGAGGCGCCGGGGGGGGGTGGGGGGAGGTGGGCGCCGGGCCCGTCGTCTCTGCGCCGCTGGCAGCAC